AGTTGACCATCTTGCACCAATTCCTTGAGGTGGTCTTTCAGAGCATAACAGATGTCCGTATCATGACCGTGATCTTTGTGATATTCACACCGCTTGTCCCGTCGTCTCGTGTCGGGAGGTCCCACCATTTTGGACGGCCATTTGAAGAACGGAAGATGTTGGATTTGGGACATAACCGAGTTGATTGGCTCTGACAGCTCTGTATATTTCTTGTCGGCGCGCTTTGTGCGCCTAATATCAACTTGCAATTGCTCATTCGTTCGGTGTGAGCATTGTTCGCTTGATCGGCGAGAATCCCGTTTCTTGTCTCGTTTAGCCCACTGTCGTGGTTCAGGGCTTTGAGGAGGTACGAAACTTATTGGATGAGTAATTTCAGGGGGGGCCATTTTTATGGCAATGTGTCCAGCTTTAACCCGCAAGGCGTCATCTTCCACTTTGCAGTATTCCTCTACTTTCTTCATTAACCCCCAGACTGTTTTGGGGGGTCTTCTGGTCAAGGAATTGCGGAGGGCGCTATCCGGGTGTAATCCCATTTTGAAGGTGATGATGGCCATGGAATCATTGCAAGCATCATTAACAAGATTAAAGCACTCCCAATATCGTGCCGAATATGCTTTTAGTGTTTCTCCTGGCAGGATTTGCATTGCCCAGAGAGAGTCGGCTTGTTTCGGCTGAACCTCGTTGGTGATGAATCTGGCCTTAAAGGACTTCTGTAGTTGGTGGAAGGTTTTGATCGAGGCCGGTTCTAGTTTATAATACCACTTGACAGCCAATGGTCCTAAACTGCTGGGAAATATTCGGCACATGAGGGCCTCGTCGTCTGCATGCAATGTCATGGCTTGCTTGTAGTGGCGGATGTGATCAGTGGGGTCTGACTTTCCATCATAGAGAGTGAATGACGGGGCTTTAAACGTTTTGGGAAGGATTGCCCTTGTGATCCGTCGCACAAAAGGGATCATGCTGGTCCTCGTCATCTGAGCTGTTTCTTCTGCGCTTATGCCTTATACGTGGGCCCTTTTCAGAGGAGTTGGAAGTTGCAGGTCGTCCTTTCTTTTTGGGCTCCGGAGATAGTGAGTCGGAGTCGCTATTACTGTCTTGTTGCCGGGCTTGAGATCATCGACCAGCTGCTTTCAGAGGTCTTTCTAGATCTTGGCACACGGCTTGTTTGGATTTTGCCACCTCCAGGGCCAAATCCTGATGGAGACGCTCGTTCTCAGCGATCATGTTCTCCAACCGCTGCTCATTTTGCTTTGCTTGTTCCATGATTGCTTGCATTGCCTCATGCTCTGGGGTTGAAGGTGAGGCGAAGTTCAAAGCGCGTCGTGTCGGGATATTCTCTGGTCCATGCATGTTTGTTGGAGTAAAATCGTCTAACTGCGTGGTTTCATCAGTGGCTATTGGAGGGTCCTCCGTCACGCCCGCCATGGATGTGCTTGAGTATTCCCACAGACGGCGCCAGGATACTCTTCAAATCTTGGGGGACATTTTTGATCCTCTTCTAGTCACCTAAAAAAGAATGAACACTCCGGTCGGGGGTGCCAGAATTAGCACTCCGACGGGCAAGTCAGTCTCACACTCAGGATTGCTTGTATTCTAAGTTAAGCATAATAATTTTCACATACCTTTCTCAGTCTGCTATTCCTCTATTTATACTCGTTCCCTGTGCCTCGGGGCATGGCCCACTTTTCACTCATTATCCTTCTATTCCCTTGGCTCCATAGTTCAATAACTATTCGGCCTATCTATCCATTTTATTCGGCATCCTGAACGTGCCAGATAGAGCCGAATAGTATTTGGCTGGAATATGCTTCTAATTCTTTTTAATATTCGGCTCCCACAAGAGTAGTGGCACAGAAGGCAGACAGAGCATTTTCTACAAACAATCTTCATTGAAGCGCATACGATCCTTGTGAATTTATATATATATGCATTTATATATATATATATATATATATGTTGTAGTAGTAATGTTCATATTATTGTTGTAATCATTGTTGCAATTACATTATTATTGTTATACTTATTGTGGTAATATTATATTGTTGTAATTAGTGTTGTAATTCTTAGTGTTATACTATCATTGTTGTAATAACTTAGATAGTTAGTTAGTTATTCATTATTTATTTGAATTTGTAATAGCTAGTTTTAATTCGAACACTTGGACATTCAGACCCTCTTGCACGAGGGCAAAATATGTAGCAATTTGTGTATGTCTTCTAACCCCCATTTCTTTCTCCCTTTTATTTACCCGGTTATAATGGTAGCATCATATTTACTTAGCATTTTCCATGACTTGCGTCCACTCGTCTTGCACACATAAGGGTTCGACTCATCATTCTAACTAATGTCAATTCCAAATACTTTGCTCGAATACGTGCTTCATCGCATGCCTTGAATTGAATCACATGCCATGCTAGTAGCCGAACTTGTTATCTACGTAATGTGTGCGTCACATTGGTCATATTACATTGTTCAGGAGCATGGATTTCTTCTAATTATTATGCTTTATTTGGCTTGCCTTGGAGTACTAGGTGAGCATTTCATGTTTTAGCATATTGCATCTTATGTTTTTGTTGCCATGTCAAGCATATTCCATGAGGCTAAGTGCTTAACTGATATACTTGTTTGAATGCTAGTGGATGAAGGTTTTTTTTACTTAGGTTGGAATAATTTGATTAATGTCAATACGAGCTCACTTTTTCAAGTGACATGTATTCAAAACACTTTTTCAAAACAAACGTGAAATCAACGCATTCCAAATTTGGCAAATTGGTCTATACTTGTGTGCATCCCCTTATAATCGGAATAAAAGCATATAATATAAATAAAAATTATATTATGATTAGTAGAGGCCAATCTTTGATCGGGTGAGTAGGGTGTTCAATTAATGACCTTCTCCTTTCATACATAAGTTTATGAGCTAAGACCTTTTGGTGATGACGAACTAATAGCCTTTTGGAATGAGTTATGAGTTTCCTAAAATTCTCAAAAATATTTAGGTGGCGACTCTAAAATCTGGCAAAGCAGTCCATTTTTGACATTTTTTTATTCAAAATCGATTTTCCAAAAGAATTGCCAGATTTGGACTCATTTGTGTTTATCTATTTCACATTGCACTTGTGAAATCAGATTCAGAACCACAAGTGGCCGAACTGTAGGGCTAGTAATATCCGAAAGGAGCACGAAAAGCAAGCTACAAAGGGTAGCGCATGCGGGCGAGTGACGATACATGGCAAGCACGTGACGCGCGCTGGCAGTGTCATTTGGCGTGTGAGGCACACGCACCGCCTTCCGAAGTGTTTTCTGGTCCAATTTTGGTACTGTCGGACTCGATTTTTTAAAATAAAAACAATGGTGGTCTCAAAATTGACATTTAATAAACACAAATGATAGGGTGTATTACACTCTCTCTCTAGTGAGAGTGGAAGTGCAAAAATTCTGCACTTCATCTTCTTTCTCAAGTCACCAAGAACTCACAAAGAACCCAATTTAGGGTTAAAGTTTTCTCATCAATCGTAAGTCCAAATTTAACAAATAACATATGGTTTCAAAGGTCTCGAAACAAGGATTCTAAATATGTAAGATTTGTAGACTGAAATTAAAGTATGTAAAACAATCATGCAAGTAAAGTTTCGGGAATATAAAATGGGTCTCCATTTTTCTTGAAATCTAACTGTTTAATATTCATGAAACTTTGCAAATATGTTCTACATGAAATGTATTACAACATATGTAAATTTCAGATTGATCGGAGAAAGTTCGAAAAAAATATTAATTTTCATGCGTATATCATATATACATATATCAATAGTTATATACATATTTTAACGCACAAAAATAAGCACGAAAATAACCAATGAAGGCTCTGATACCAATGTCGGATATATATAACGTAACAGATAAACAAATATTTGACATACCTTATGTGAATGAATCCGAAATGAAGAATTTTATAAGTAAATCATGTGCTTTACAACTACGAACAAAACACCCAGTAATGGAGTGATACCACAGTATGAGTGTCACCAACTCTAGTCATAGTGCAAATGCTTTATCGTTTTCTGATGGGAGAGAGTTAGAGAGAGAGTATGGGAAAAATGTTATGGGTAGCACACTACATAACGTATCTGAAATAATATATATAGATCAGATATATAACCATCTATCCATATCTCCTAATAGGATAGGATAGATATAGATAGATTGTGGGTTATCCTAACAAATAGGATAATCAAAAATTCAAATTCAAATTACACGGGTGCCCAAATCTGGGTCCAATACCCGATCCAATTTCTAACACAAACCAAACACACCCAGCCTCTCCCAGACCTGGCTTAAGCGGGAATTTCGTGCATTGGGGTATGCATTTTTTTAGATTTCAGTTGAATCTTTATCGTTTCTTATTAGACAAACTATGTCGATAGTGTCTACATTTTAGTTATCGTGTCATTTTAGTCTTTATAATTTTAATTCACTCAATTTTAACTATAAATCTAAATTTATAATTGTCTCAATTTCATTCAATAGATTATAATTGTTAGTAATTTTTTTTTTAATGAAAAATACAAAAGTAACGTGTGCTATATTTTTAAAGACAAAATTATAAATTTGATTAACTCAGTGAGTTAATCTTAACTAACTTAGTGATTATTTTTCATCAAAAATCTGAACGGTATTATTAGTTAGACCAAATTAACACAAAATTAAAAATTAAAGACCAAAAGGAAAAATGCAAGAACGACATAAGTAATTTGCCCTTTTTCATATTTTATGAAGTCAGGTAACTATGTTTTTCATTTTTAAAGCCTCTGGCTTACTTATTAATTCACCCTTTAAAAGTTAATTTAACCTTTTGGGATGATTTCAACTATCTTCCATACAAACATTTTTTGATATCATTGAAATTTTGAACATATCTTGAAGACTTGTAGCTTTTCTACTTTGACAATGCCATAATGCCACATGTACAATAAATAGCTAACCTTGACAACTGATTTGCATAGAGAAGAAACGAAAGTGGGCTCTAAAACCATGTCTAAAGACATGGGAGCTTCTAAATACACTTAATAAATTTGTCTTTACACCCGCTACATGCACTATAACTTTTATACCTCAGGAAAAAACTATTGTACATGTAGGTGTAGAGCGATTTATTGGGATAGAGGGCATAAAGATATGAAGAAAGTTCAAAAGACCACAATCACCAACCTTCTCAAATATTCAATTTAGGGAAAACAAATCATATCACAAATTACACCATAATACAGAACCTTCAAGCCTCCAAGGGGCCGCACTTGTATTCCCAAGGTTTTTAGTTCTCAAACAATACACGGGAATGCAAAAGCTACTAACCCAATCTACAGCTTGACCATTCTTCAAGCAATGAATTTGGAAAATGAAGCACAACCAACTGCTACATGCACCGCGGGAATAGAGTCTGTCCTACATAACCACCAGCCATTGCCCTTCTAACATTGGATTCAAACATCTTCGGGTTATCTCTTAACACAGCAGCAGCATCATGGTTGAGGGGATCTTCATAGTTTGGTTGCTGGTCACAAAATCGGTTGTAAGCACAAATTGTAAACATAATCTACCAATCAAGGGTACAAGAAAGATATTTCAGAAGAGAATTTAGTTACCGTGAAGAGATGATACAGTCCGTAAATTATAGTATTTATATTGAGAACAGGTTTCCAGTCCTCTCGTAGAATGTTCAGGCAGACATTTCCTTCCAAGTCGATGTTAGGGTGATAAACCTGCAAGTAGGATGTACTGTTTAAACTGCCAACTACATGCATTAACAACATTATGCAAGTAAAATTGATTAAGAGCCTTCTTTTTGCCATGGTATACCTTAGTCTTGCACTTGACCTTTGGTGGCTCATGAGGGTATACAGGTGGAACTTGGAAAGAGAATGTGAATGTACCACCTCTGTCGGAGAAACAATGTTTCAGGTTAACTAATCAAGATTCCATCCAAATGATTTATATATAAAAAAAAAAAATTTGTAGAATGGAAAAATGTGTAAACCTATTGACAGTCAACTTTGTCACCCACAGAAAGAATAATGCAAAAGAGAATGTCTAGCACTCAAAGCAGACCTAAATAGAAAGAAGGCATTTTTACCTTAGATTAGTAGATTTCTGACACATTAAGCACCATATTAGACCCATGGAACACAGCACACTCATGAGTAGGGCTGTTCAGGGAAACGATTACCCCGAAAACCCACTCAAACTGCCCGAACTGAGATGAAATTCACAATTTCAAAGTTTGAATGGGTTGGTCGCGGTTTAATGAATTTAAAAATCTTGGTCTCACAATCGGCTGTTGGTTTATTGGGCATAGAAATTATAAAACCCGAGCCGACCAGAAGTAGAACATTAAACATTAAAAAATATTTATCCATACGGGGCAATATTTCCGTTGATCTTCAAATTACATTCTTATCACAAATTCAATACATGGTGTTAGATTATTGGTTGTTGAAATTCTATCTGATCACGTATTCAAACTCATTAGACTTCATGCCTCCCCAGATTTTATTTATTTTTAACTCCCAAGAGATTTCTGTTCCACAAATCTTTCCCCTTCTCTCTCTCTCTCTCACACACACACACACATTACTTCTCAACTCTTCAGAGCTCTCCTTTTCATATCTATCTCTAAAATGACTATGTAGCTCTCATCTACAGACAATTTGTCTTACCCATCGTTCCTCCTGAATCCCCAATTTTCTGATCTCCTTCCCTCACTCCTCACTTTTTTGATCTCCTTCAACCTACTGACGATAAATCGGGAAGGATGGACTATGTTGGTGTGGAAGATCAAGAAGATGAGCAATGGTGCCAAAGATTTCTTTGGACAGTGGATGATGATGATGTCCAAGTGCTTTTTTGTTTTTTAATTTCATACTCTTACCAGGAACATTCATTTATAAGGTTATTGAGGTATACTCATGTTCATTTAATATTAATTTTTTGGGTTTTTGAGATATACTTTTATCATTTTTGAGATATACTTTTATCATTTTTGAATACAAGGATGGATAGATTGGTAAATAAAAGCTAGCTAGGAACCAACCGAAGCTGACCGCCAACCAAATGAATTACGTGGACGGTTTCAAACTGAACAATCAGTCAACTTCGGTTGAACATGTTTGGAACCCGATGATATTCAGTTGATTGATGGGTCAACGGTAAATTGCCAACTCAACCCGTGAACACCCCTACTCATGAGGGAGCATGATATATATGACACTAATTATTGGCAAAGGCCATAACAAGTTAATGCTTACATGAACAATCCATATTGAAAATTTCACCACTTTCTAGAATATTTCCAACTATTTATAAGCAATAGGGAAAAACATATTTACCAGGCTAGACTTTCTCCAGTATTTGTTTTTCCTTTTACCCCATGAAAACCCTCTCTAATGGAACCCATGCTAAATTAACAGTGTTCTAGATTGAGGAAAAGGGAGGAGGAGCTATTGAAGTCAAGAATCATCTATCGTAGTTGCTTACCATCTGGATTTCTTACTGACAGCGGGTGATGGCTGGGTCCTAAGCTGCTAATTGAAAACCCAAATTGAAGAAAAACGATAATATAAGCCTGAGTACCCATCTTCAAGAACCCTTTGAAACAAATATAATTTGTATAATGCAAAAGTTAACTTATTTTTCTTTTCTTTTGGGCCAAATGATACAAGAATTTCTAATCAGTCCCAAAAGCCCATGCCACAGTTCACTCATGCCGGATGGGCTCCAACCCGGATGGTTTCATTAATTCCTAATGCTGAAATGAGAACTTCAAAAAAAGAAAAGGGAGGGGAGAGGGTGGTTGCAAAAGATACTTACAGATAATATCCTTCATCAGGTCGAATAGTAACCTCAAAGTTCATCAGGTCATCCTTGCCATTGGGAAATGATATGCTACAAGTTTTTGGTAGGTTCAGTTCACCAATATCTACAAGATTAACACAGAGAGAGAGAGAGAGAGAGAGAGAGTCTCTTGTAGTTAAATCTGCTAACAGAATCATCAAGATAAGGTAAACTACTTATACATGCCAAATAACAAGTTCTCTTCAATATTGACTGGTGAACAAAGACCCCAGCAAACTTGTGACCACATAAATCTGGTTGATATAACTGGCAAATATGAGGTTGATTTACCACTTGCAGCCTCTAGTTGCCAAATCACATCAAATCAGCAAAAAGAAATGGTACGGACAAAAATAGCTAACACCAACCTGTAGCGGTTAAGGGGTTGTACAGAATAGTATAAATGGTAGGTTTTCTCAATGAAGCTATTATTATTTTTCCTCAAAAATGATAAACACAAACAAAGTGAAATGTATTGTGAGCATTGTGAATCTTATGTATCCTATTGGGTATGGTAAAATCTTACATTTTAGTAGCAAATATGAATTTATCACAAAAACAATATAAAATTTATGAATTGCATGGTAAAAAGTAAGATACAGATACAAACAACTGTGCTTACACCCAGTGGAACAAGTATAATCCACACAAGTATTCAGATAGCCAAAAAATATGAATGATTGACTCAGAAAGCAAGGATAATATCAAGCGGCCAGTGGCCAAAGACTGTCAAATTAGTAGCCTAGGGTAATCAATCTCTTCGTCCTGAGCATAGTATTCTATCTCAGGATACCTTATCATAAGCTTTCAGCTAACATTGGAGATGTGAGAAATTATTTTATACACATAAGACGGTATACCTTTGTGAAGACGTAATTCCCCTGCACTTTGCTTCTTGATATGTGCTGTCCCATTGGCGTGTTCAGCTCTCTGTTTTTCCTTCACTTTAAAGAGCCTAATCATATTTCCTACAAGAAGATATCAACCATAAGGAACTCATAAGAAAAATGCTATATTAAATATAGGGAAAAGACGTGCAACACTTCCTTCCATCTCCTAGACAAATTCAATGAAACATAATTTTCGAGAAAAATCCAAGTTTCTTGCAACACCCAATACAAGATACCAGAAAACATAGTGGTCAAAAAATTCTTGGAAATCTAACAAAAAATGAAAACCATTGGATTAAATCTCTTGATATTATGGAGCTTCACAACAAAATTCATTCTATGACATATCATCACAACAAACTTCACACTTGCATGGTTGCATTGTGTTGTGTTACAGAACCAAGTTACCTTTGATTCTCGATCTGACAACTGTGTGTGCGCGCGCGCGCGTGCATGATTTCTTTTTTCTTATTTTTCCTTTTCCTTTCTTGGGGGTTATTAGGGCTTTTACTTGCTTGTGATGAATAAAGCTATTCCAATTCTTTTCAATCATCTCACAACCCAATATTCAAAGATAAATATATATATATATATATATTGGTGAAATGGAAACAGACCCCTGCCCCTAACCCCTAACCTGGATGAAGGTGGGGTTCATCCCAGGTTTCAAATACTACTTTCCTAGCTAAGAAAATTGGCAACTTTGTGATAGAAAAATATAGTACAAAACATCATCCAAAGAAATTCAAAGGATAAAATTGATTCAGCACAAAGTAACAGATGACAAGAAGCAAGTTTGAGAATCCAACCATATTTATTGATAAACCTACTACATCTATGCATGTATGATTATGAACATTCTTTAAAAATAAAAAGGTCAATTAAAACCCAAACACCGACAATGATCTCACCAAAACAAGGGCAATACAAAAGCACGAAATATTTCAATATCCCTGAAGCTGGATCGGGTAAGCTGTGTTAGCACAAGGCTGAGATCGCACGAAGCGATGAATATAGAATCAGATAGAGAGCTACGAGGTTATAGATTAAGCTTTACCTGCTCCAATCAATCAATCAATCAATCAACAGAGGTAAAGATGAAACGCGTACAGATATGTATGAATATAAATATATGTATGTAGAGAGAGAGAGAGAAAGAGGGAGAGAGGGGTTTATTCTTTCTTTCTTCACTTTTATTTATTCTATTTTGCGTCTGTTTATCGTCATCCACAACAGGAAGGTTTGGCCTGGTTCTCTGCACTGCGTTATTACTTCTTGGGTAAATTACACGTTAGCCCCCGTGGTTAGGCCAAAAACCATGAAATCCCCTGTCAAGTTTAATTTGTAACAATGAACCCCTAGGGTAAATTAACGTTTTTCATCCAAATTAACAGCGTGGGGTGTAAATTACATTTTACCTCCCTAGGAGGTCACCAGAGGCCACTACAATAGTTTAGGAGGTTTTTGGATGGTGGTTATTGATAGTGATGAGTGACCTTTGGTGGTGTTAATGTGCAGTGGAAAGCGAAAAACTACCACTACAATCCATCAGTACTAATTATATGCACTCAAAACCACATCACCACCAATAGTTTAGAAGGTATGGGATAAGAGATGATCGACGTGGAAAAAATGAAAAGTTATAGGAATTGTGTAGGGGTAGGAATTTCATTGTAAAACCTCATAAACCTACACAATGTAGGTATTAGGGAAGGATATCGGCCCGTTAGCTTGCTTGACTCAATCTTGTTTTTTTAGAGCTTTGGAAGTTTATTTTAGCCCACAGGGTCGGGCTGAGTCAATATTTTTAACCCAATATATTAATAGGTTCGATTTGGAATTTATATTTTCAACTTGACCAGGCCCGACCTGCTATTAAATTAATTAATTATATTAAAAAATAAGATTAATTACCTAAAAGTGCTATCTACCTATTTGGTAGTAGATTAGGTCTTGTCTAAAAGTTTTTGGAACCAATAAATCCTATTTATAAATAAGAAGACATTTTTGCCCTTCATTCCAAACAGTTATATATATATATATATATATAACAACATTGATGTTATTTACTAAAAACAAAATCAAATCAGTTATGGAAAGTGGATGAAGATATAATTTCGAAGGATCTCGAAGGATTTTTAGGTTTGATTCGCTATTATACATACATTGATTTCGGCGTTTGACAGATTTATATTTGAGGCTTTTTGAGTTGAAATATGTTTCAAGGTTCAGAACAGAGCATATTAAATCGACTAAAGAGATGGGCCTGGAGATTTGGTTTGTAGGTAAGAACTGAGACATTCTTAGTTCCAAAACAAAGAAGGTTCTCAATTTAAAATTGAGAATGATTTCAGTTTGCAAAAATATCTAGTAAAATTGAGAAAATTTTCAATTTTTTCAGTGTTAAAACTGAGAATATTATCATTTTTTTTAGTTTTAAACTAATAATATTATCAATTTTAAAACTATAAAAAATTGAGGAATTTCTCAATTTTGCACAACCATTGAAAATCGCACGGGGAGAATGAATTACTCATTCTAGGGAAGAAAGTGGTCAGCGGCTTCGACGGAGAAGGAGTTGCCAGCGTTGGTAACAGTGATACCACAGCGGTGGCAAGTGGCGAGGTCGACGTGGTTGAGGCCGGCGCTGGAGCCGATGACGCACTGGATGGAGGGGAAGCGATCGAGAGTGTCGGAGGTGAGAGGTGATGGACCGAGGTAGGGGAGGAGCCGTGTAGATGAGACTAGGGACTGGGTTTATGAGGAGGAGAAAGAGGGGTCTAACGGGGTCGAGGAGGCGAAATCAGGTTTAGAGCCATGATTGGAAAGATAGTTCGAAAGTTGGGATTCGATGGATCAGGACCAGAGGAATATTGTCTAGGAGGCTGTTTTGCTTCAGAAGCCATTGAAATGATCCTTGGGAGAGAATATGAGAGAGAGTAAAAAATTATGATTTGACCACTTCCTTTGAATTTTTTTGGGCTCTATTTTTTATATGTGAGAGAGAGAGAGCCTGAAACTACAAAAAAAAAAAACGAAAACAAATGAGAGAGAAGAGGATGTTTGGTTGTTGTTGTTGTTGGGGAGCGGGTGTAAAAGTAAGAGAGAGAGAGAATGAAGACAGCAATGGATGTTTGGCAGCGATAGAGGAGGTCTTGGAAGAGCAAATTGGTCTATTAAAAATTAATGAGACTTGAAGGAGCAAATAATTTTATCTAGGACTTAATGGATTATAAGTTCACAAAATGAGACTTGTATATAAATGCCCATATATATATATATATATATATATTTGTTGAGATTTAGATTTTATCTTTGTTAATTTTATTAAAATTCACATTTGTAGGTATGTATGATTGAATTTTTTAAAGAAATCTTTCAATTTATAATGATGTCAGCATATTTATTTAATATATATAATGTGTGATTGAATTTAATTATAGAATGTTTTAATTTTTTTTAAACACATAGCCTAATTGTTGGGTTTGGGATTTATAATTATTTTTTTGGGCCATACTTGGGCAAATGTAGAGGCCTGATGTTAGGGCCAAGCCGGGCTTGGGCATACATAAAGTCCCTTATTATGTAGTGTTGGTTCGGCCCGAATCTAGCTCGGCCCGACGAATGCCTATCTGTCATGCTCCACTTTTTATTACCCGAATAATATTACCACATCCATTAATTATAATCCAATTCCATCAATAATACGCAGAAGTTGTATACATTAACAACAAGAAGTAACAGAAATTCTCTCATTTGTATACACACTGGATGCCAATGAATTTCATTTAAATAAAGTGCCCATAGGCTTACATCATTAGTTAAAGAGAAATGGCTTAACCCTTTTACAACAATGATATCCTGCCAACAAATATAAGGCCCGGTGGCCAACAATCAAAAAAGATCCCCGACCTTGAACCACTTCTCAACGTGCACCTGAAAAATGATTAGCAATGTGGGATGAATATAAAGTCCAGTAGAGATCCCAAATGATCCTAAACAATAACAATATACAAATAACTATGATCATGAATGTGCCAAATCATATTATATAAGTGATGTGATAGTTTTATATCAAAAATAAAACATACCTAGATATATATAATTTCTTCTCAAAATCCTCATTTTCACCTTTCAAGGAAAACCCATCTATCATCTTTTCATCTCATCAATTATGATTCAAAACAACTTTACTTTAGAGAAACGTTTTAAAATAATCAATCATTCGCTTAATCTATCCTTTACCCCAAAACTATAATCACACCTCCATTTGCTTTGATGACACATTCACTCATTCTAGTCATAAACCTGTCCTACATCATAACTCGCTACACACGCATACCTATCAGCACATCCACCACCTTCACTAGCCTTAAGCACAAGGGCAAAAGAACACCTCCAACAATACAATAAAATACATCTATATGCATACAAATATATAAACGTGAATAATATAAAACAACACATACTTCCATTGTTACCAGCCTAAAGCATGGATGGCTAACGAAACAATCCACGTAACATAACACGCTTTACCGGCTTCACCTGGATCGGAACAATTGGCATGTCACACTTTACCGGGCACAAACTGGAAGGCAGAGGAACTTGTCTCAAGGCACTATGCTTTATCGGCTTCAATTGGAGAGTAACAAAACTCAATTCACACTTTACAAGGCACAAACCAAAAAGGAGAGGAACCTATCTCAAGGTGTCGTGCTTTATTGGCTTCAACCAGAGAGTAACGGACCTCAATTCACTATCACAACATGCTAGATTACATAAATAATGTACGAGTGTAATACATACACATAATCTACTTAACGACAACAATGTCATCCTCCACATATAACCAAAGACAAAACCTCTTACATTTAAATACATAATCTCGTAAATTACATTCACAAACAATTCCACCATTTTTCAAATCAACCATTTTCCATTTCATTTCACAAAAGAGTTACACACATGGTTTTGTTTTCAAAACCAAACCCGTTATTCCAGAACTTCAACACTTTTAACCCTTAACCAAAACCTCTCTTCCTTTGATAAAATCCAATTTGTTATTACACAACCATAACTCAACGCACATAACATTAGCCTCTTTTTAGCCACCAAAGCTTTAATTCGTTCATGTAATACATAACTCAACCATTACCCAACTTTACTCCTTTTTGTTTTATTAAACCTTTAATAACAAATTAAGGCTTTTTGCCACTATCATCATAAATGTGTTTAGCTATCTCCCAACTTACCAAAAACAACCAAAAACATGCTAATAGAACTTGTAAAACCTCAAACCCTAAACCCTCTTTCATGCTTTCGAAAATCCCATAACAATCATGCTTTTAATACAATAAAAACTACTACACGTCTTTCTATAACGAGGTATTGAAAAGGAGCAAAGAAATCCCTACCTCTTGAAGCAACGAGGAGAAAAGCCGAAACACCTACGACAACAAAAACACAATCCGCTCAAAATAAAGGAAGCCCACGCTGAACTCTACATTTTGGTATATGGAACTAGGGGTAAAAAATGGGTAAAAATAAATGAAACCCAAGCTTGAAAGCTTTATGGGTCCAAAAATGGTGGACAAAGAGAGAGAGCCAGAAAAAGTGAGAAAAAGATATTTCTTCCTAACTTTATACAAATAGACTCTTGAACGAATAAAACACCGCTCGAATGTCAGACACAACTTATCACTCTTAAGCGAAGAAACCAAACTCTCAGAAGATCAACTCTACAGAACAGACTGCTCGAGCGAACAAAACACTGTGTAACATGCCTGGGGGTACCTGTGCGCGTTAAACAGTTCGGACTCTCAATTTCTTTGATCAAGTCTCATGAGTGCAATGTGAAACATAGATGAGAGTCTAAATTTGGCAACTTATATGGAAAATCCATTTTAATACAAAATATTTTCCAAGAATGGACTACATCACCAGTTCTTAGAGTCCCTACCTAATATTTTGAGAAAATTAGGAAACCCGTGGCTCGTACCAAGGCCATTGTTCGTCGTAACCAAATATGCTTGGCTCAGAACCTTAAGTGTGAGAGGGGAACGTCATTGATTGAGCACTCCCACTCACCTGATCAAAGATCAGCCTCTGCTATACCATGATATGAGTTTTATTAATTTTATATGTTCATGTTCTCATCATTAATAAATCCTAAAAGTTACTATGTGAAACTTACAAGTATAGACTATGTCATTTATT